GATCATTCAACAGTTATAGAATTTTCCAATCCCACTTATAAAACAATACTCTTACAAATAGACGAAAACTTCTTAAATCCATTTGCTAATATATATGAAAATGATGAATTTGAATGTTTTAATATTGAAGAAGTATTACCAAAACAAAGATATGAAATAAATGAAGATTTTGACTTTTCTCTATTTAGAACAGCTCATATGAACCCTGAAGAAAAAGCTGCCATAAAAAATCTTCTTATCAAATATAAAGATATCTTGCATAAACCTGATCAAAAATTAACATTTACTAATAAGATTAAACATGAAATTAAAACCACAGACGAAATACCTGTGCACACAAAATCATATAGATACCCTTTTGTACATAAACAAGAAGTCCAGAAACAAATCTCTAAAATGTTGGAAGACGGTATTATTCGACCATCACAATCGCCCTGGAGTTCCCCTATTTGGATTGTACCAAAGAAAGCAGATGCCAGCGAGAAAAGGAAATGGAGAATAGTAGTAGACTATAGAAAAATTAACGAAAAAACTATAGATGACAGATACCCCTTGCCCAATATTACGGATATCCTGGATAAGCTTGGAAGATGTCAATATTTTACAACCCTCGACTTAGCTTCAGGTTTTCACCAAATTGAAATGCACCCAGACTCCATCGCTAAAACAGCATTTAACGTAGAAAACGGACATTACGAATATCTTAGAATGCCGTTTGGATTAAAAAATGCTCCTGCCACTTTTTCAAGGGCTATGGACAATATTTTAAAAGGCCTAATCGGTAAAGTATGTCTTGTCTACATGGACGACATAATAATATTTTCGACTTCCCTTCAGGAACACATTAATAGCTTAAAACAAGTATTTGACAGATTAAAAGAAGCTCATCTAAAAATTCAATTAGATAAATCTGAATTTCTTAAAGACTCAGTAGAGTTCCTAGGACACGTAATTACCCCAGAAGGTATCAAACCAAATCCAAACAAAATTGTAGCGATTGAAAAATTTCCCATCCCAACAAATCCAAAGGAAATAAAATCCTTTCTTGGCTTAGTTGGCTATTACCGGAAGTTTATAAAAAACTTTTCAAAATTAACTAAACCACTCACAAACTGCCTGAAGAAAAATCAAAAGGTAGAACATACACCAGAATTCGTGAATGCCTTTAATATATGTAAACAAATATTAATGAACGACCCCATTCTACAGTATCCCGACTTTTCTAAACCTTTTCTTCTAACAACCGATGCTTCAAATTACGCAATCGGAGCCGTCTTATCTCAAGGACCCATCGGATCTGACCTTCCAATCGCATACGCTTCTCGAACATTAAACCCTGCTGAAATTAATTATAGTACCATCGAAAAAGAACTTCTAGCAATCGTTTGGGCAACCAAATATTTCAGACCCTACCTTTTTGGAGTAAAATTCAAAATTATAAGTGATCACAAACCGTTACAATGGTTATTTTCACTCAAAGAACCAAATTCCAAATTAGTCCGTTGGAGACTGAAATTGGAAGAATATGACTACGAAATCATCTATAAAAAAGGAAAAGCAAACACAAATGCAGACGCACTTTCTCGAGTAGAAGTCAACCCAATCGAGACTGACGACATAGATATAGACAACTTATCAATATTCGCAAATCCTGAAGAACGAGACGAATTAACAGACTTTGACTATCACGAAATTGAATCCCTATTAGATTCCATTCAAATAAATCGCGAGAATCGCCCACAAAATGAAGACACTATTCAAAACTCAAAACCTAAGATAATAATTCACAGTGATATACTTATAAACTCGGAAAAGAACCCGACATCACCTGAACAAGAACAACCTGAAATTATTACCGATCCACTTCAAGAACCCAATGCCAATCGACTTACAGATGCAGATAATGAAACCGTACATTCTAGTCACGAAAATCCGGTTATAGGTATTTCCCATATAAACAAATCTATTAATACTTTCAAAAACCAAATTATTATTTCTAGCCATAGAGATGTCGACAATAAAAATCGTAAAGTAATAAGAGAGAAAATTTTCGAGAAAAATCGAATACAATTATCCATTCCCAAATCTGATAATGAACATATTATCACAGATTTTATTAAAGAATATTTTATTCCAAGACACACTTATTGTTTCCTTTTCAAAGATAAGACCTTAGAACCAATATTCATTAACATTTTCCAGAAATATTTCAAAAATAATGCATTTATTCTATTCAAAACAGATACGATCCTTACGGATGTTACAGACGAAGACGAAAGAAAAGAAAAACTAAAATTATATCATGAAACAAAAACCAGTCATAGAGGAATACAAGAGAACATAAACGCCATTAAGCGAATATTCTACTGGCCCCGATTAGAACAAGACGTTAGAGAATATGTAAACTCATGTGAAATATGCCAGATGACAAAATACGAAAGACACCCTACAAAATTAGTATTTAAACCTACACCTATAGGTTGTGAATCGTTTGACCACATATATACAGACACATATAAAACACATGGACAATATTTTGTCACAATCATAGATAGCTTTTCTAAATTTGGACAAGCCTATCCTTTAACAACCCCTAATTCAGTCGAAGTTGCAAATAAACTTATACAATACTTTAGCCACTTTGGACTTCCGAGACGCATTACAACCGATAATGGAACAGAATGGAAAAATGAAGTCATCCAAGGCTTATGCAAAACTCATCATATAGAAATTCATTACACAACTCTCTATAATCCCAATAGCAACAGCCCTGTTGAAAGATTCCACTCAACTTTAAGCGAAACAATTCTTACCCTTAAAAATTCTAAGCCCCAAGAGCCAATAGAATCTCTTATGAACTTAGCATTACTATCCTACAATAATTCTATTCACTCTTCCACTAGTTATACACCTTTTCAAATTATCCGTGGAAGACTAGATTACAGAAATCCCTTTGAAATAGACGAGAAAACAAAAATCACACAATATATACAAGACCACACCCAAAACCTAAAAACTTTAAACAATCTCATAAAACAAAACTTAGAAACAAAACAACAGAAAACGCTTGAGAAAATTAACGAAAATAGACAATCAAACGTAGAGATAGATACTAAACAACCCTTATATAAATTTAAGAATAAAAATGCATCAGAAAAGAAAAAAGCAAATCGTTACGAGAAATTAGAAGATCCCACTATCGTTAATGATATTAAATTTAAAACAAAATCTAAAACTTATCACAAAAGATTATTAAAACCACAACGTCATTTTTTAGGAAGAAAAAATGATCCAATACATCATCATTATACTTTGCGCTCTAAAGGAACTGCAAGCACTAGCCATAACCGAAATTAACAACCCAATATTACCTGTGTACATTGGACAATCTCATGTAATTACCTCCAAACATACCTTTCTTTATCACATTAACCTAACATACCCAGAAAACTCACTTTCTCAAATTAAAACTTCTCTGACAAATCTCGAAACTACTCTTAACGACCTAAATGCAACTAACCATTTTTCAACATTTTTAAAACAAAAACTTACTAATGCACAAACAATTACTGATATAATTCAGAAAAAATTAGATTCCTTCTTAAAAATTAAACGAAATAAAAGAGCCTTACTTAATGTTATAGGAACAATACAAAAATGGCTTTTTGGTACCTTAGATTCAGAAGACGGAGAATACATAGAACAATACCTAACAAAACTACATTTAAATGAACAGACTCTCCACGACGATCTAAAAACCCAACAAAGTCTTATACAACAAATGTCAGAAACATATAGTAATAATTTTAAAAAAATAAATGAAAATCAAATAACTTTAGAAATTCAACTAAAAAATTTATCAAAAGAAATCCGTTCAGTTATAAACTTAGAACATTCTTTTTCATTTTCCAATATTATAGATAATTTATTAATACAATTGCAATTAATTGAGCATATAATAAACAATTTAGAAACTGCAATTTCTTTCGCAAGAATAAATATTTTACATAGTTCAATAATAGAACCTAGTTATATAGAAACAATGCTTGAAAAACTAGAACAAATATATGGAAATTCACAAGTACCAAAGTTAAAACAAATTCTAAATTATTACTCATTATTATCTACACAAGTAGTTATTCATAATAAAATGATTCTATTTAAAATTCACGTTCCATTAGTCAATTCCCAATATAAACTTTTCCATTTATACCCCATACCTATATCAAATTATACCATTATTCCTGAACAACCTTATATGTTGCTCAACATTGAAACATACTGGACCACATCAGAGAAATGCCCAGAAATAGAAGATTGGTATTTCTGCCTCGAGATTAACTTACACCAGCAACAAAGTTGTCTAGCGGACCTGATCAGAACAGGAAAAAACTCATGCTCGCAAACAAAAATACACTTCTCCGAAACAACAGTAACACAAATCAACTCAAAAACCATCCTTATAATACCAGCCAATAAGACAACAGTGAAAACATCCTGTGACGCTGATGGAATATTTGAAATATTTAAACCAAGCACCATATCACTAGAAAAATGCAAGATCCTCGTTAACCAGAAAACGTTTCAGTCCGAAACTACTACTCATGAACAATTTGTATTCCAACTGCCCCAGATAGAAATGAACCAGGTAAAGAAACAAGAAAACCAAGAGATATTTCACCTCAATCAACTCAACATGGATGAAATTGACCGAGTTAAAACCTTAAGTAACCTTCTACAAACAAGAAATCTAGAAAATGCACCATCAAGACATGCGTGGATCAACATGATGACATCATTAGTTATAGTCACTATACTTTTAGCCATCATTATATACTTTGGTATGAAGAAATACCGCTCAGCACGAAAACCAGAAAAGGAAGCCAGCCAGAAAATAGAAGAACCCCTATTTTCCGCTCTGATAAGGGAGGAGTTATAATGTATAAAATTCCCGATATGTATTTTTACTCATAGTCGTACTTTTCCTATATTTGATTATAATGAGATTTCTACCAATTGTAAATATTCCTAATTATGTTATTTTCTAATTGTACTTTCCCTATATTTAACTTTAACGATATTTATATTTATTTGTAATGATAATATTTTATATAAAAGAACCATAAACTAAAATAAGAGGCATTGCTGAAGTCTCTTCCAAACTAGTAGTTGAGATTGTAATCATTAGTTGTTAAGTTATTTATTTAATAAAAGTTTTTAAAAACAAGTTTTCTAAGAAGAAAAACAAAATTCATGTTAAAGATGTAATTAAACAAGAATTTAACATAGATGTGAAGCTGGATAGTGAATTATGTGAGGGCTGCGTTTATGGAAAAGCTTTCGTGAAAAAGTTTGGCATAAGAAAAAGAACAGAAACTCCAGGAGAACTGATCCATTCGGATGTTTGTGGGCCTTTCAAGGTATCAAAATCCGGTTTTAAATATTATGTTTTATTTAAAGATGATTTTAGCAGATACCGATTTGTATATTTTTTAAAGCAAAAGTCAGAAGTTGCTGATAAATTAGATATTGTTTTAAAAGAAATAAAAGCTGCAGGATATGGTGTGAAAGAATTTCTGTCAGATCATGGTGGAGAATTTGATAATCAGTGAGTAGCAAATATATTAAACAAATATGGAATAAAACAAAGATTGGTGATGCCGTACACACCACAACAAAATGGCTGTTCAGAACGTGATAACAGAACGATTGTCGAATGCGCAAGATCTTTAATGCATGCAAGAGAAGGTATCTTTGATCAAACATTTTGGGCTGAATTAGTAAACACAGCTACATATATCTTAAACAGATCTGGTATGTCCAGTATTCCTGATAAATCACCACATGAAATATGGTTTAACAAGAAGCCTGAACTTAAACATTTAAGAGCAATCGGCAGTACTTGTTATGCTCACGTTCCTAAAGTTTGCAGGAGAAAATTGGATAAGAAATCTATTAAAGGTATACTCGTGGGTTATGAAAATGATGATGGATATAGGATTTGGTCAGAAGAACAGCATAGACTAATACTTTCACGAGATGTTATTTTTAATGAATTTGAAACTCTCGGTGTGCTAAAAGAATCCAAACAGTTTCAAAGTTTGCAACCTACAGTAGATGTATTGGATTTTGTTTAAAATAATTCTGATACAGAAGAAATAGATATGGTCGATGAAATTAGTGATAGTATGGAAGAAATGGACCCATATGACCAAGAAGAAAACCAATGTTGTGAACCAGAAGAAAGCTTAGAAGAAGATATAGAATTTAAAAGACAACTGAGAGAAAGATCAAACATTAAGAAGCCAACACGCTTTGACGAGTTCGTTATGATGGTTGCTGCTGAAATAAACGACACCAAAGAACCACTTAGTTACAAAGAAGCAATTGTTTGTTGTGAAAAAGATAACTGGAGGCTGGCAATGGAGCATGAAATGCAGTCATTAAAAGAGAATTGTACATGGATTTTGAAAAATTTACCTAAAAATAAAAAAGCAATTCCCTGTAAATGGGTGTATAAACTCAAAACCAATCCAGATGGTTCAATTGATAAATACAAAGCTCGTTTGGTAGTGAAGGGTTATTCACAAAGAAAAGGTGAAGATTATGAACAAACGTTCAGTCCAGTAGCTAAAGGTGGTACGATAAGAGCCGTTATAAGTATAGCTGCTAGTAAAAACATGTCACTTACACAATTCGATGTCTGTACTGCATTTCTGTACGGTACTCTAGACGAAGAAGTATACATGAAACAACGAGAAGGCTATGATGATGGTAGTGGTATGGTTTGTCATCTCCAGAGAAGTCTATATGGATTAAAAACAGGCACCAAGGTGTTGGAATAAGCGTTTTGGAAACTTTATAGATTCGCTTGGCTTTAAACGAAGTACTGCAGATCCATGTTTATTTATTAAATCGAAGGAAAAGACATGCTAATATTAGTGCTGTATGTTGACGATGGTCTAATAGCATGTACAAATGAAATAATGAAGATGAATTTTTTGAAAAAGCTTCAGGAGAAGTTTAAAATAACAGTTAAACCAGCTACATATTTCTTAGGTTTGGAAATCGAAAGAAATCAAGACGACTCCATAAGTATTATCCAGTCAGCTTATACAAGAAAGGTGCTAGAACGTTTTGGCATGGAAAATAGCAGACCGGTCTCGACCCCGATTGTAAAAGAAGCTATCCAATTAGGGAAGGAAACTAGTGAAATAGAATCGAATACTTTCCATATCGCGAAGCTGTGTCCAAATATAGCTTATGCTGTTAGTGTTGTATCCAGGAAATTAGAAAATACAAGTCCAAACGACTATGTAAAAGTTAAGAGAATATTACGCTATTTGAATGGGACAATAAATTATGGCTTAACTTATATGCGAAAGCCAGATATACAACCTAAGTTAACAAGCTATAGTGATGCTGATCATGGAGGTGATATAACAACCGGAAGATCGACATCTGGGGTATTGTGTCTTTATGCTGAAGCAGCTGTATCTTGGTTTAGTCAGAGACAAACATCAGTAGCCATATCGACAACAGAGGCAGAAATAGTAGCTGCAAGTGACGCTGCACGAGAAATAGTTTGGTTAAAAAGAATATTTACGGAATTAACCGGCGTTAGCTTGGTTCCGACACTACATGTCGACAATGAATCAGCCATACGATTAACGCAGAATCCCGAGTTTCATCGCCGGACTAAACATATACATATTAGACATTTTTTTGTTAAAGAAATGGTATTGGATGGATCACTTTAAGTAGTAAAGGTGTCATCTGAAAATCAGTTAGCGGATGTTTTGACGAAGCCGCTGTTTTCAAATAGAATGAAAAAATTACTTTTTGAAATCGGGTTGGAAAATTACTCAATGAGGGAAGGTGTTAAAGCAGAATGAAGAAGGCATCTACGTAATTTACCATCCTATGTTGTAAATAAGTTAATGAGTTAAGTTTTGTAGTTTAGACAAGTATAAATGTCAATTTTGATGGAAATAAAATAACAATAAGTCACAGTCATTATTTTATTACAAGGAAGTTTTTTCTAGTTAGACGATCTAATATTATTAACAATATTAACAGATTCACCACCCTGTATATGCTTTGTCATTATATTAAAATCAAAATAATTTCTTATAAACCTACCTCGAAAGATCTCACATTTTTTATTTATGTCGAAATTATTTTATTATATGCAAATTTGCTGACTTTGTTAAATAAATAACCAAATTACAAATCTAGTAAAATAAAAAAACACTCAAGGATAATAATTAATTATAATGAGTAACTTATTTTAAAATTCAATTAAAAATGTTGTTTAAAAAGCATGCACCTGATTCGTTAGACCATAGATCAACTTTGCAGTTATTCATCACTATAGTTTTGAATAATCGGTGTACTAATGTATAAAATTATTGTTCTAGTATTATTATCAGTCTATTCAGCTACATCTTCAGTAAGTACATGATATTCCTGTTTTGTTATATACAGGGTGTCCAAAAACTCTCCTGACAAACGAAGACTGAAGATTTCTCAGGTAATATTAAGATAATTTAACCCCATTCACATTTAACCCATTTTATTGCATCCAGAATGCCCTGGTTATGGTAAATGAAAACTGGTACGATTATTTATCATCCAGAGTTGAATAGATTCCATTATTTGCAAATTTCTAGTACCGGTCATATGCGTCCGTTTTGGGTAAGTCAACGGTTATTTTAAAGCATATCTTTTTTGTTTTTAACTTTTACGCATTCGTTATAATAAATCATTAAATATTAAGGTATTTTAGTACTAAAAGGTACTCTTACCTTAAGTCGACAGGATACACCATTTTCTAGAAAAATGGATTTGAATATTTTTCGTACCTTAATAATTAATTTTTTAAATAATCTTTTGTTTCAATAAATGCAGCAAAACAATTCGTAAAAAAAGTTTGTGAAAAGAAGCAAACTATTTACGACAAAATTAAAAGGTTTTTAAAAACAAAGTATTTATTACGATGGAACAAAACTAACACAAACGAACAAGTATCAAAAGTAGATAGTTACAAAAGATTCTCAATATCTTCTAACATTATTCTCAATACATAGATTTCCCTTTTTGTTTAGTGAACACCGAATTTTTGCAAAAATTATAAAGCTATTTTCAAATTCGTTACAAGTATCTTGCAACTTCCAGAGTTGTATCAAAACTAAATAAACAAATGCTTTTATTTATCATCAAACACAATAATCGCAAGGATTAAAATCCAGCGACCTTGCTGACCAAGCAACTAGACTGCCTTTTCCAATCCAGTGGTCTTCTTAGTTCTTATCAAGAAAGTCTTTTACATTTATGCTTAAGTGAGCCGGACAGTTGTCATGTAAAAACCATAAGTTTTGCCATATATTTAAAGGCACATAATCTAATGAATCAGGTTAAACATTTTGCAAAAATGTGTGTAATCAGCACCATTTAAACGAGCAGGCAATTCCACAGGCCTAAGTAGATAATTGTTAACTACTTCTATCCAGACGTTTATGCTAAATCTATGCTAATGTTTTAATTCTTGAACAACGTGGGAATTGTCACTTATATACGAATTATATTGTGTATTACGCATATTGAAAATTCCATTCTTTTTTGTCGAAAACAATATGTACCTGAAAAAATTTATCATTTTGATTTTCTGATTTTATAACTATCTAGAGAATTCTTCACGAGAAGCAAAATCTTCTTATAGCAGTACTTGTATGTTTTTAAAATGAAAATGATATAATTTTTAATTGTGTAAGATATTTCCTACAGACGATTTTAAAATTTTGGGATACATTTAAAATGGTCTTCTAACGCTATTTTTGGAGTTTTTCTCAACTTCCATTACAATAACATCTTCTTGTGCTTCTGCTACATAATCATGTCATCTTCTTTCATTATTTTTAGATACTACTGAACCTGTTTCTTTTAATCGTTGATGAAGAGCTGTAAATATTGAGTGAGTGGGATCACGGTTGGAAAAATTTTTCAGGGTATCTACGTTGTGCTACTCGGTATAAAA